AGCGCCTTCATCGCTCATCACACCTCTCCCGAGAGCCCTCTGTTGTTCACCCGCCAAGTCTTGTCGCGGTGAACCCTCATCTCTCTCCGTGTCGCCAACCAGGCAAGAGGAAGGAGCGACACTTCCTTCCCCTTCCTCCTGCCCCCTTCATTGTTGGGACGTACCAGCGGGTGCAGTCACGTTCCCGGCGGCCACGCTCTGCATCATTCCTCGCAAAGTATCGAGGCTCGGGCATCTCGCCACCAGGTGACCCGCCTTACCACACAGCAGACATTCCGCTTGGCGTCGCTCTCCGTTCCGGTAATTCCCTTGGGGTCTTGACCAGTTGCACTCCATCGAGTAGTGTCCAAGTTCGTTACACCGATTGCAACGGCCCTGTCCACGGGGACACGTCTCACGTCCACATCCAACACGACCACAGCGTCCGCAAAACTCTTCCCCTTCCGTGGTACGCGTGTCAGGTCCTAGTCGGATGCGAAGAGGTCCGAGCGGTGCGCCAGCCACGTTCCCATTCGGAGTTGGAACGCCAGTACTTGGAACGTTCGTAGGAGCCACGGAACCCTTGTGACGTTCCAGGATTCTGCTGCTGCTTCAGCATCAACTGGTTCATTTGTTGAAGCTGCTGGAGCATCTGCGACTGCGTGGACGTCACCGCATTCACGTTCCTCACCGTCGTTCCACTATTCGCAAACACGTCTTCTTCTTCCACAGGGAGGTGCAGATTCTTGTACAGCAATAAAGCGCACGCTTCCTGGATCGACGCAGCTAAGTTCGCGTTCAAAACGGCACGCATCTGCTTGTTCCTTAACCCATCAAGGAAGAACTCGTACTGCATACGAGACTCGGGATTAGTTAGGTACTCGCACATCGTGATGATCCTGTCGCCCCACTCTTCCGCCGATTCGCCGTAATTCCTCTTTGCGGCCTTGAGTCGGCTCCACAACTGAGCTGGCCTCTAAAAGATGACGCGGTTGTGGAATCTCACGCGCAGAGTCTCAAAATCGTTGATCCCCGCATTGTACCACCATTCCTGGCCCAACTTGCCCTTCAGACACTGCTCAAAGGCAGTCAACCGCATTTGGTCGTCCATACCAAGCGTACACTTCTCGAAGGAACGCCAGAACGCGGCCGCCCTTTCGTACGTGGCCGTCTCGGAGTAGAATGGAACGATAACTTTCACTGCGCTCCGCAATTCCGTCGGGATACCGATAATCGGAACGCCCTGCTGAGCACCTCTTCCTGACCCGTGCGAGCCATTGCGGACTCCTTGGTCGTAGTACGGACTCGTCACTTGCCCTCGCGGAGGTACTGCGTTAGGTGCGTACCTTCCTCCTTGAGCACCCACGTTTCCCTCTTGTCCTAGCGCTCCTGCTCGTCCCTGGAACGTCGCAACATTCATAGGAGACGTTCTCTGGAACGGCAATCCATACGTTTCGCTTTTGGGGCCGGCAGTTGTCTGCCGTGCGGCCGCTGAAGACCACGCGGGGATCGTTCCAGCAGTAGCCCACCCAGGTGTCGACGTCATTATCGGTTGGAAGAGAGGGTAGAACGCACTCTGTTGGGGCGTTCCACTACCTCCACCGTTCCACGGGGAACCAGCCATTGGAATTGACACGCCCCCATACGAAGGAATAGCAGCCATCGGCATTCGGCTAGGTGTCGAAACCGGCGTTTGATTCCTCATCCTCGGTGTATTGATCCTTGGTACCCCATCACTGAAGACGTCATTGGTCGGGTCGGCGTCGGCACAGTACGTGGCACGTGTCCTGTAGCTTGAGGTCTTGGTGACGGCACCGGCGTTCCATTCGTCACTCCAGCCCTCTGTAGCAGTTGGGCGAGACCGTCCATGATGAGAGCCTGTAAGGCTGGGTCCGTCGTCGGCGTCCCACTTCCTCTCGTCGGCGTTCTCATCGATTGAACAGGCGTCGCTCCTCGACTTCCACCAGGTACGTACGCTCGCGTAGGTGTTCCAGCAACAACATGTGCTGCCCCTGGGACACGTCGGCTTCCTTGTTGGCCCGGTACGTTGTTGTTGGGTTGTCCGTACACTGACGTGACCATGGGCACGTCCCTTCTAGAATCGTCCATCGGTTGCAAGGAGGGACGAGTCCGATCCAAGGCGAACCCCACCTCGCGGCGACCTCCCGAGTCCATCACTGAAGCGTCCAAGAGCGTACCCGTCGTCGTCCTTGCAGGCGTCGTTCCTTCGCTCGGTGCCGGTTGACGTGCCCACTGCTCAAGGACGGTGTTGGACATCTGTCCACCCTGAGGCGTTCCAGACACAGACTCAACCATCCTTCTCGTTCCCGGAGACGGAGACGTTACATTGAACATGTCCCCGCCTTCCACGTGGACCGCTCGTGTCTCGTGTCCTCCCGTCACGTGATCAGCTCGCTGCGGCGTGCCACGCTCCCCGCCATCTCCCTGGCGTTCCCTCCCTTGAAGTTTCTGCGGCGTGCCGTCGTCAGCAGCTCTCTCAGCGCGCGCTTCCTCTTCCTCCTCGAGGATCTCCACGGGCTCCTTTCCAACGGAGGAGCCCATCCCCCTACCCCTTCACCGGCTCCAAGTCCTTCGCTGGACCATCCTTGAGCACTCATCCTTTTCCCACTTCTCTCTCCTTCTTCCTTGGCACTCCGTTGCCAACGCTTCTTCTTACGCTTGTACTCCTACGAAATTCGGCTAGAAATAAACCCTGCTTCTCCACCAAATTGTCGCGGTCTTCCTCTTATCGGGGTCGTGAGTATCTTGGGCCGACGTAGGAGGTAGTAGTATTAGCGACACTACTGTGATAGTAATGTAAAAGTTGATGTATTCTTATGTTTCTTGTTAGAAGGAAATCCACGACTGACTTCCTCATTTCACCTCGCTAAGAGGTTTTGGAGCTTCTTACCTTTTAGCAGATCCCTCGTGCGTGGCGGTCCAGCTCCAATTCCCGCCACGACCAGCTGCTTCACGACCTCACACTTGGAACGTCACTGTCTTGGCCGCAGGTCCCGCTTGCTTGGACGTGGTCCGGAGAGTCTGGAGTGAGTAGACCTTCTGCAGGCAGTCAGCCAGCATCGTCAATCCACCATCTAACTGTACACCGTGACACTCTTTCGAGTCATAAATTCATCGTCGACGTACTGTTGGTTCTATTGGTTCCAGTGTCGGCCAAGCAGCTCGTTCCGTCTTAATCTGTATTGATCCCATCTTACTTTCTTCGGGTTCTATCCTTATTTCATACTTGATCTATGTTCGATCACCTCACTCTGTGCACCCAGTTTTAGCACTCTATCGGTAAGCAGCTCGTTCTGCAGCCGAAATTTACAGTATAACTGAGTACAAATTCAGTGCTCAGTACTCTCGCAGGTTAGCTGTGCATTAAATTAAATTGGAGTTGGAGTTGGTGCGTGCAGTATGGGGGCGGGGGGGGGGGGGGTTGTATACAATCTTGACAATCTGAAGTGCTGTATATACTGCGTTATGTACCTGAAACTAAGAAAAAACAGTCTGCTATCGATCGATTTGGTATGCCTGGTTTGCTAGTAGCAGTAATATTTTAAGGAAACGTAAGAAATCATTCATTTCCATTGAGACTTGGGAACGTCTAATCCTTCCATACTACAGTACAAGCCGAGGGTAGGCTTTTTGTGAAGTCAGCTCAAACATGGATCAACAGCCAAGTGATTTGGATCATTCTTGAGCTGTTCCGGAACCCAATTATTTTTCCATCTCCAATGGTTGAACTGCAGATTTTGCAAAGAGACAATCGTATCTGCCGAATCCCCGGTTCTGATCTTAGCCTCATGAAGGGCTCGTGCAAGATTCACATCGCCACCAAAGCGCTTTGCTAGCTCTGATATATCAGCGTACTCATTCTCATTCTTGTTCAGACTGTTGACATAGGAGACCCACTTTGGAAACGCGAGATCAAAAAAAAGATCATCCCCTTTTCTGTAAAGCTTTAAATGGCTAAAAGCCTCTTGTGGTGTTCTTCCTTTCAGTAGCCACATTGTTTGCTCCAGTCGTAATGCTGGACCCTTGAGTGTTTTTGGTATCGTGCTGCGTAGTGCTTGATCAACCATGCTCTTCAGTGTTTCACTACCGTAGTATTTTGTCATCACCGACAACATCACACTGTCCGCTTCCCCCTCGTGTAGTTTTTTTAAAGTAGGACGACCAAGTAGTCAGCAAAGGGTTTTGAAAAATTGACGTGCCGTCTTCGTGTAGGGAGAGGTGGGTGAAGATATCTCCCGCAGTTTTCTTTTGTCCAAACCAATGGTCTTTGAGAACGCCGTCCATTCCAGACATATAAACAGCCGTCTGGTCGTCTCTCTTAGCAGCAAAAAACATCTTCAATATCTCTTCATCGCTGAATCGCGTCTTCAGTTTATGGTACAGCACTTCGACGAAGTTTTGACCAGTTTTTTTTAACGTACAAGAACCACGACTTGAAGTTTGGATTCTTCAGCATTTCGTATCCCTGGTCAGGATTCAGACGGAGGAGCTTCAAGGCGTCATCGACCGTTTTACCTTTGTCTAACCAGGTTTTAAACATTGCTTTTTCCAGATCCTTAGCCGTGCTCCTCGTACTGCGGTCGACCTTTGCTTTGACTATCATGTTAGCCAGCCCCTCTTCGCCATGGATTTTCGTCAGCTCGAGAGCCAAAAACCCATACGAATCCTCACGTAGCACAGCCGCGTCGGAAAGTAGCCTATTCAGCTTTGGCAGCTTAAAAAAATCAATTCCTTGTTCGGAGCTTAAAGGTAGAAGCTTCAAGATGTCTTCTTCCGTTTTTTTCTTTTGGAAACGGCCACCTTCAACATTTTAGCAATGTTGCTCGTTCTGTCGTTGTCGCTGGCTGCAGCCAGAATTGTAGTTATTTCGTCCGGTTTGTAGCGTTTAGTCATTCTGTGCAGCAAGAATCCATACGGATCCTCTTTGAGCCTGTTCACGTATGCAATCCACGTGTTTAACAAAGGGTTTGCCAAGAAATCGGTATCCGCAATGTCTATCTTCAGATGTTTGTAGAGTTCTCCCGCCGTTTTCTTTTGACTAATCCACGAATCCAACTGGAGAGATTAACCATCGTAGCAACTTTCGACGCTTTAGGATTTTGTGCTTCAACCAGAAGCTTGGTCAGAGCTTCATCGCCGTACTTGGCGGTCAGTTCTGACATAAACGCCTCATCGCTCAGCTCAGGTCTCCTGTGGACGATGATGTTGGTCACAGGTCGGGTCAGCGCCGAATCCGTACGTTTGGCCTCGACTGCTTCTACACCGAGCTTCGCTACAATGTCTTCTCTTGCTTTGTGGTTGTTGATATTATCCACAGAGAGAGCCGATGACTCCATTGCACCGATGCTTCGTTTTGAAACAATGTCTTCGGCGGCTTTCTGGGGGTTATTGTTGGGCACAGAATAAGCCAAGGCGCTCGCAATACGCTTCGACTCGGCCTCTCCTGCGCTGAGTTCTGCGGCTTTCTTGTTGTTGGAGGCCAGCCTAGTCTTGGCGCGACTTGCGATTTTTTCGAGATTTGCAGTCCCAGACTTGATTAAACCTTTAAGTTTCTCTACACCAGGCACCTTGACGTTTACTCTCTCTTCCGGCCTGCCATACTCTTTATCATTTGCTGACCATGTCTGCATCCTCAAGCGTCTATTGGGTTTAACGCCCACAGCGCAATTCAAAGCTTCGTTTGAGACGAAGCTTTGGTTGGACGCCGTCGATAACACGAAACCAGCGCCGGCGCATACCAGAAGAAAGACAACTGGAAACAGCATGAAGCTGTTGAAAGGCACTTTTCGAATGGCCTCGACAGTCATTGCAGTGGAAGTGTTAAATTTCGAAATGTCTATCGTCGCTTCTTTGATTCTTTTGAGCTGCTATTTTGATGCTGAACATTAGGTGTAAAAAAGGCTGTGTGCTCATCATTTTAGCGGATGGTGTCAGGCCATCACAGTACCGTGATTCCGCCTATCGCTTTCGGGTACGCTAGAACCGCGACAAATCATATATAAGCTCATGCTGTGTATTTAATAAATGCATGAAATATTTGATTCAAAACAGCGGCTTTTTAATTGTTCAATACAACATTTGTGCTCGTCCAAAATAAGAAAAAAAATATTCTAACAGCCCGGTACAATTATCCGCCTAAAGCGCTGTCTCCAGTACGCTCGTTTTAACAAAACACCCACACGTAAAGAACCACATCCACACTGTATACCAAATAAGTGCGACATGCACTTTGAAAAAGAAGCCGTATTTATTATTTGTTGGTGATTGCGACCCACCTTAATGTTTGCAAACGCTGAAATACATGTACAAAGTGGTGTTTACAAACTACATGGCAGGGTCGCAAACAGGTATACTGTACTGTACATGTACTACAGACAACCCGCTCGGTAGACATAGCGTCGGGAAAGAAAATTATAAACGCGGATGTACCATAGTAATGGATCAAAGTACTCTTTAACCCAGCACCGACAAGCCAGCATAGTACTTCAAGCACTTGCAAGCTAGGAACTAAGAGTTGCACAGTGTATATATAGCTAGCGATAGCAGCCTGTTACTCGCGTTCACTCGACATCGTATGGAGCAACCATGCGTCACTTACGAACGGTTCGTTGCTATCAGGCAGAACATACTGCAGGGTTGTCAAAGATTCTGGATGTCGTGTAAGCAACAGTGAGAGGATTGCCAGCAACACGCGAGAGAATAATGTTGTTGTTGTTAACGGTAAATGCCGAAGTGAGTAGATTAAAGTCAATTAAATCTGTTCTCTAAACTTCAGTGCTCCTGGCCATCCACCAGATTAACCGGTTTGGGACCGGTCCATCCTGGAACGTTCAGCCGGTTAACTGAACCGTGCAGAGTCGGTGTTAATTAACACTCCCACTCACCGCTACTGCACGACGTTCGTCTTCGTTAAGGATCGCTACTCAGCGGCGCTCCTCTTCTTGATCCCGCTTTCCTCGCGAAGGAACGCTAGCGACTTCGTTCCAAGCGGCTTCGTCAGCATGTCCGCAAGTTGGCGCTTCGTGTCGACGTAGTCCACCTTGATCGTAGAGCGTTCCACATTCACCCGAATGAAGTGATGTCGGATATCCACGTGCTTGGTCCTAGCGTGATACCCAGCGTTACTTGCAAGTGCGATAGCACCTTGATTGTCCTCCCAGACCTGCGTCGCTCCCACTTGCTCGTGACCCATGTCCTTGAGAATAGCACGTGTCCATAGTACCTCTTGCGTACACAGACTCAGAGCCATGTACTCTGCTTCCGCTGAGCTGAGTGCAACCGTTATCTGGTACTTGGACTTGAACACAACCGGAGCGTTCCCAATCATGACCATGACACCTGATACGGAACGCCTGTCGTCAATGTTGCTTCCCCAGTCTGCGTCCGTGAATGCCTCTGCCTTGACACCTTGCGTTCCACTTTGGTAGACGATACCGTGCTGCCGAGGTGTCTTTAAGTACTGCAGGACCTGTATCTCTGCCTTCCAGTGTTGCGTTCCAGGATTTTCCAGGAAGCGTGACAGCTGCGTTACAACGTACGCAATGTCCGGTCGAGTGCATGTTGTGATGTACATCAGGCATCCGATCAAGGAACGGTACGGTCTTGACTGCATTGCACGTCGTTCCTTCTCCGTGGCTAGCGACATCATCTTCGACAGCTTCATGTTGGATGCGCATGGGTTATCCAACATCTTGGCGTTCCGTTGGTTGAAGCGCTCTACAATGTCGTCAATGTACCGAGTGTGCTTGAACATCAGCGTTCCAGCTGCCTTATCATGATCAATCTCCATTACCAGGATGAACTTTGCCTCGCCAAGCTCTTTCATCTTGAATGCACTCTTCAGAGCGCCCTTTACTTCGCGAATCTCTTCGCGTGTCTTCGCCGCAATGATCATGTCGTCCACATACAGGCACACGTACACGAATGCGTCCCTGGAACGCTTGACGTAGACACACTTGTCGGCTCCACAACTCTTGAAACCGTTCCGCAGGAACACACGATGGATAGTCTTGTTTTATGCACTTGCAGCTTGCTTCAAACCATATATGGCCTTTAGCAGCTTGCACTTCATGCCTTCAGCGTTCTCGAGACCAAGTGGAACGTCCATGTAGACCAAAATCACCAAACCACTGTTTAGGAACGCTGTGTCAGCATCCAGTTGCTCCATAATGTGGTCGCATGCCACACACAGCGAGTACATCTCGAATCGAGTTCATGTTTGCAACAGGAGAATGCGTCTCAAAAAAATCGATTCCAAACTTCTGCTTGAACCCTTAAGCTACTAGGCGTGCCTTGTAACGGATAACACGACCGTTCTCGTCACGCTTCTTAGTGAACACCCAGCGACATCCAATGGAACGCGTAGCCGTTCCACATGGAACCAACGTCCACGTTCCGCTCTGGGAATGAGAGTGTAACTCAGCCTTCATAGCCCGACGCCATTCAGCTGCTTCATCACTGGCGATAGCTTCTGCGTACGTGTTCGGCGTATTCGGTACGCCTCTGATGCTGGCCGCGTATGCCAACACTGCCTCTGCGAGTAAACAGTCTTCATCGATTCTAGGACGCTTAAAAGACGGCGGTCCAACACTACCTCTTTCAGACTGGCGTTCCACATCGTCATCGTAGCCGTTCCCAAGCAGAAACACCGGTTCCCGAGGTCGGGTTGAGCGTTCCGTTTCAGGACGGAAGATTATCCGGTCCTCTTGGAACGCAGGAGGTTGTGAGCGGTACGTTGCCAGCTCCAGTCCACTCGAACGGCGTTCCTCCGGTGCGGGTAGCTGTGGTATCCCGGCGTTCCGTTCCGGTTCAACATCGTCCATCTCAATGTCTTGAGCAGGTTCTTCCGCTTCTTCCATTGGTTCATCTTGAACAGACTGTCGTTCCACTTCTGGAGCTGGAATCACGGTATCGTCATTGTTCCTTGTCACATGGATGATCGTTCCAGAAGCTGGCGACGGCGTGTCAAAGATACCGCCCACCTCACGCTCGTCCAGCTTTACCGATCGTGACACCTTGACCTTGGATGCATCCAAGTCGTAGACACGATACCCTTTTACGTTCTCTGCGTATCCGAGGAACGTGCACCTGAAGCTCTTGGGTTCCAATCTCGTTCTCTTCACGTCATCCACGTGAGCGTACCCTTGTGATCCAAACACGCGTAGGTGTTCCATCCGTGGCTTCACTTGGAACGCCAACTCATATGGCGTGACATTCGAGTTGGATGTGTTCGTGGAACGGTTGATAAGGTACACTGCAGTACTCACCGCTTCAGCCCACCACTCCGTCGACATAGACTTGTAGTGCAGCATGCTTCGTGCCTTCTCCATGATGGTACGGTTTATGCGTTCCGCAACACCGTTCTGCTAAGGGCTGTATGGAGCGCTGCCCTGATGCACGATGCCATTCCGCTGACAGAGTTCCAATACCGTCTTGTTTACAAACTCCGTTCCATTATCGGAACGCAGGCACTTCAATCGTTCCCCCCACTGATTTTCATACAGTGCCTTGAACTCCTTCAGCTTGCTGCCCACCTCACTCTTGCTCTTCATGAAGAATGTCACGACATACATTGAGTAGTCGTCTACAAAGGTCAGCACGTACTTGGCACCCCCCTTTGAGAGCGTTCTCATTGGTCCCATAACGTCCGTGTGTACTAGTTCCAACACACGCGTTGTCTTCGTCAGTGATCGTGACGGGAACGCCGTCACGGTCTGCTTTCCCTTCATGCAACCACCGCACAAAGTCTTGCACCCCTTTCTTACTGGCGGGATACCGGTCGTGGAACGCTGGGTCTTCGTCAGTGCGTCCTTGTTGGGGTGACCCATGCGAGCGTGCCAAAGCTCCCACTCGCTGTCTGCATCGGCGTATTCCACGAAACGGGCCTCCTCCTGCTGACAGTCCAAAATGAACGCCTTACCGACCTTCTTCCCTGACGCTATTGCAGCGTTCCGTCCCCAAATTACACAACTTGAACGCTGGAACTCCACACTCATACCGCGTTCCGCGAGCTTCCGACTGACAATAAGCGTCTATCGAGCCCGGGGATGTGGAGCACGTCCACCATACGGATGCGTCTACCGTCCAAACCAGTCAACTTGACCGTTCCAGTTCCTGCGACGTGCAGCTTCTTGCCGTCTGCAATCGTCACCTCCATGCTAGTGTCCAACGACTTGTACTCCAACAGGTCGTTCCTGTGAGGGGTCATGTGCGACGTCGAACCACTATCAATCAGCCACCCGGTCGAGCGTTCCCCACCAACTGCAAACACTGCATCGTCTTGGCTACCCTTCTTCGTAGCAGGAAAGTCCCGCTTCATGTGGATCACGTGGTCACAGTTGAAGCACTTGCCCTTGAAACCAACGTTCCGCTTCGGAGCGGTCCACTTCCGACCGTTCCCTCGGCCGTTTCGGAACTTGCCTGCGTTCGTATTCACTTGGAACGCCTTCTCCGTGGTTTCCTTCTTCTCGAGTCGCTCATACTCCTTCAACAGCTTCTCCTTGGCCTCGATGAGCGTCACACCCTTGGCGTTCTCCACGATAGACGATATGAGCTCGTATTCGGCGGGGAGGCTGCTCAGCAGTACCACCAGCTGACGTGCCTCGTCCATGGGCTCTCCCAGGGTCTGCAAACCGACGATCAGCTTATCAAACGCATCCAGATGCTTGGCCATAGACGATCCGCTCTCCATCTTGAACTCGTGTAGTCGACGCGTCGTCGTCACGCGGTTGTGGAGCGTGGTGCGATTGTAGAACTCGCGGAGCGTTTCCCATGCTTCAATGGAACGCGTCGCCGACCGGATCTTGGT